GGGGGCGGGTACTTTAGGACTTTTTGGGTGGGGATGTGCTGCTGGGACCCTGGAACCCTTAACCTATACCAGAGCTACAGACTGTAGTTCAAGTGAATTTTTTAGACCAGGAGCCCATCAAATTTGATGGGCTCCTGTTTAGACTTAACTCCCCAAATCCTCTCTATCCTAGACTAGCTGTTTTCCAAAAATAACTGAGGTCACTAGCACAGTCCAACCAAAACAAAACCAATTTGATTTTTTTATATTCTTGAGTGACAATTCCCGGTTTCCCTAGTCTAGACTAAAATCTTCAGCCAATTGATCAGTTTAAATGGAAAATGATACCCTCTTCTAGACCCAAACTCTTTGATTTATATACCCTACCCCAGAGTAAACTGATTGAAAACCATACCCTTCACAGCAGCACAAACCTATATAGCCCATATATGGCGGTACCCCCTCCCCCCCGGGGCTTTCATATACCTAAATCCTTATTAAGATACCCATTTCGGGCAGACCCCAAAAAAGCCGAAAAAGCTATTAAAGGGTGTAACCTCGGGGAAAAAAACGGCATTCCATCGGGATGATCCGGATCTGGATCAGTGATCCGAGATCACTCGGATGATGTAGCCTACGAGCAGGCTCACGTGTCTGAGTTCGGGGAAAAATTGTCTAGGAAAAGTGAAGTGAAGTAATGTGCCGCGGAACGTGGCGCTGACCAAAAGGACCGCAGCTCTGGGAATTTGTTAACATCTACCCTCCCATACAGATGTCTTGGGGCTTCATCTAGCCTGCGAGCAAGCTCTCCGGGGCGCTCTACTGTTTCATCACGTGTTAATATTGTGGGAAAGGAGTGCAAAAGAACAACTGTGAGGGAGGCGAGCAGTAGTTCACATCATACTAGATTGATGTCATCTGGTAATGTGAACATAAGGTATTGATTGTTTACAGATCCTATATCTCTCCCAGTTTTGCAAGAATGGAATGTGGTGGCACCCTTATGCTAGAGAAATTTGAAATAGTTTCAATCAACTGTCTCTTAAGAGACACCTCTTAATGGACACCTCATTAAAACAGACACCAAGAATTGGTCCCTCCCTTTCTCTACTCCTTTGAGTTGACCCTCTATAAGACACACAGTGCCTTTCCAAATGGTGTCTTAGAGAGTTCACTGTACTACAATACATCCAAAGCACAGTGTCTACAGTGGAACCCCCTTAATACAGTCACCAGTGGTTCAAAAAAAAAATTTGGTGGTATTAATGGGGTGGCCTTATTATCGGGGCAGGATCAAATTTCATGAATTGAGGGCCGAAATGACAAATACACCGTACAGCACATTCGCATTTCTTGAACAACTGTTCTCAATAATAAACAACCGGGATGTAGATATTGCATATAGAAATTTAAAAAAAATAAGTACTTAAAATTTTCCTTCAGTACATAGAACACTTTTATAATGCACTTCAGTTTAAAAACAGTACAAGAACAGGCTCAGATTACTAGGTCAATAAAATTGACATGTCACGGGCATTTTAATATTCTAACTTTCGAACAAGTGGCCATATTAATGGGGTGAAATTATAAGAGACTCTCTGCTGCTTGGGATTTTAAAATGTGGCTGTTGGCCATATTAACTGGTGACCACATTAACAGGTTTTTTTCATAAAGAAATGTATGGCCGTGTTGCCAGGTCAAAAAAAAGTGGCCATAATAACGAGGTGACCGTAATAACGAGGTGGCTATAAGGTGGGGTTGCACTGTACTGAACACAGTGCCATTATTAAAATAATATTAATACAGTAAAAACCTGTGACTAAGAACCTGCATTTTCCCAAGTTAGCCTAGAGAGGTGCTCACATAAATGGTAATTGGCACAAATTTGGGCTATTTAGGTTCGTAAATACTCAGTTCTTATTTTCTGAAGAAAAAAAAATTACATTGTAGCTAAGAGTATTCAGTGGTATGTAGCTCATCCTTTTGGTAAAACCTGTATACCATTACAGAGTTTGGAGTGATGAGACACCTATGTCTCCAAAGAGGATTTTGAATGTTGACTTATCTTATTTGCCTAAGGGTGCAGGTTCTTATCTTCTATAAACGTCTACAAAAAAATTGTTTTATAGACATAAAAAAATAACAACCTGTTTTAAATTTTTGTCTAACAGGTTCTTAACAACCAGGGCCCAGTTGTTCGAAGGCTGATTAGCGCTAACCCAGGGTTAAATTTTAACCCGGTTCTCATATTCTTTTCATCAAAAGTATTTTCTTGGACAATTTTCTCTATTCTTTTTAGAGTAGTCAATCATCAAATTATTGACAGAAATAATTAAACTGAATTTGCTTTTTAAGCTTTCATATCTGAATTCAAATTTCGAGCTAACCCTGGGTTATCTTAACCCAGCTTTGAACAACTGGGCCCAGGTTCTTGGTTGTGACTTTTTACCGTATTTCTCATCTGGTCAGTGAGGGCAGCATCTAGTAAGGGAAGGTACTCATTTAAAACATTCCATCATTAATTCATTTTTGCAAATAACACAATATTATGCATTTTTCCCTCTTTTCTTTGCTTTATTCAAAAACAGTAGCATTAATTAAGGAAGAAAGTTACTATTTAAGGTCTAAGTATGTCCCTTTCCACAGAAAATAGATGATAGTAATAGCAATGGCGACAACTATGTTACATTTTAGCATTAACTGTGATTAAAATCAATGAACACTATATTGTAGCTACGGGGATGGTACCGTAATTAATCTTATCATCAATTATTTTATGATCTGACGTGCAGCACTCACTCGGCAGCACTCTTATGAGTAAGTACCATAGTGTAAGAAAACAGTCATGTCATTATTTTTGTCAGCCCCATTCACACCAACAATGTTTAAAAGCTCTTTGGTTTAACAAGGTTTAAATTTGTTTTCTTTATAACAGCTATGTACCGTACTTTTAATGACTAGTTTTCTGTTTCGGTCAGTTACTATTTTTCATCTTTTTTCAAAACTTCATTCAATTAAACATGATTACTTAGTGTGAATGGAACATAAGGAACTTGACAAAACTGCATTCATGATGTTACGCAGGAATGGAAGTCACAAGGAATATTTAAAATGGTTTACACATAAGCTTTAACACTCTCACAACACTGCAATGAACCAAATGTTCTTAAGGGTTGAAAGATTGCCCAAAACTGGTTTTGAATAATTATTTTTACTCAACATCACATAAACATCCATTTGATCTTTTTGAAATAAATTGTCCACAAGTACAGTGCGTCACAAAAGCACACAAACAGAACAATCTCTACGTACAATGTAAGAAAATGGATGGCTTGCATACATGAAATTGAAAGTAATAATGAGAGAAATCACAGTGGCCTGTTCCAGGCTCCGAGATAATTGGGTCTACGAAATTGAGAAAGAGCAAACATGAAATAAAAAAGGAGAAAACTGGGGAGAGGAAGGGCGGGAAAGGTCACACCCTTTCTTTTTCCCACCACTGCTCCCTTTTTCCAGATCACGCACTCATATTTTCAAGTGTGTTTTACTTATGCGTCATCCCCACTATCTAAGACCCTGGAACAGGCTACAACCACAGTGTCAATGAATGTTTTCACTGTTTTCAGCCCAATGGCCATTCCCAAATGTGTCTTGTTGCATATAAACTTTTTCTAACTTTTACTTTTAGTTTTTTCTCTTTTTCAACTCATTGGAAAGCCAATCAAGACCTTCATATAATCCATCTCCGCTTGTTGCACACGTTGCTTGGATGTACCACAAACGGTTTCTTAAGCTATGCAAGCCTAATTTGTCCGTTATTTCAGCTGCATTCATTGCATTTGGTAAGTCCTAAAAAAAGAATAATAATAAATAATGTAAGCATAATGATACTACAGCTGTTCCAAAAAGGTTGTACAAAAATATTGTTAGGGTCACTCATAGCGCACTGACTACAGACTATTAAGAGCATGGGCTCTTGTTCTTCGTTCTTGGTGTTCACTGATAACAGATAAGGGTAGAGTAGATTAGAATAACAGTCAGTACAAAATGCAGATGGTAGACTGCTGCAGACCATTGTTTTCACCATGCAAATGAGGACGTGACAACTATAGTACCTTTGTTTTCTAACTCTGAAAACAATCGTCTGCAATCTGCATTTTGTACTGTCCAATTAGAATAACTTTGTCCCCGTGAAGTTTCTTTGAGGACCCCTATTTTCCAGCAGAGGGGTCCCTAAGCATGCGACTGGGGAGAGAATACTGATGTCTGTATGATTATCATTACTAGTACAGTCGAACCTCCTGTAAATGACCACCTAAGATGCGAAGACCTAGTGGTCGCTTATGACAGGTGTTCGCTTACAAGAATCTAACCACAGGGGTATTTTCTGAGAAGACGTTTGGACACATCATCTTTATGGTAACTAATTAATTGCATGCAATTTCATGTGGAGTTCCATGTTGATTCTAAAATTCTTTGTATATAATTCAAAGTAGCATAGTACACACAGCGAACATAAGAGATCACACAAATCATCATGTGGTCACTTACAAGAGGTTAAAAAGGGTGGAAAATCATTAAACCATAAGCCCCAGATAATGCTTGCGGTTCCCTATGGGAGGTGGTCGTTGACAAGAGGTTCCAACTGGAAGGCTTTGACTGGGAACGTTTTGGTGTTTTGGATAGGTGGTCACATATGGAGGTTCGACTATATAATAATTCTTGGCTTGCAACCATGTGACAAAGGGGTCAATACGAATACAGTGAAACCTGTATTAAGCGGACACCCTCGGGGAATGCTGTGGTGTCCGCTTAATACAGGGTGTCCGCCTAATACAGGTTTCGATAGATAAAGTCATTTGAGGTGTCAAATGCCATTCAAATGAACGGTGGAAACGTTTAGCTGTACTCCCAGAGACTATGACGATATATGTTTGCAATAATGTCTTTATTTAAGTGGATCAATTGATCATAGTACCATAAACATAGATTGCAACTCAAATTTGAAGAAATCGGATGAGTGAAACAAGCTCTATACAAACAAAACGAAATAGAAAACAATACTGTACTGTGAAACTAATCAAATAAGTTCGTCAAGTCACGTTTTTTAATGTAAACATTGAAAAATTTGTGGATGGCAATCTTTCGCATTTCCGGTGTCTGGCATGTTGGTTGGTGGAATTCAGTTACACTGTCCGTTTAATACAGGTTGGAAACAATAGAAATGACCATTTCAGGTACTTTTTAGGCATCCACGTCCACTTAATAGGTGTCTGCTCAATAAAGGTTTCATTTAAAGAAAATAGGGGAAATACATTTGGGGACTTCGGCTACTGTCCGCTTAATAGAGGGTGTCCACTTAATACAGTGTCCGCTTAATACAGGTTTCACTGTATAATTTTTTGTCAAAGAATTTACATGAAAATAGAGTTAGTTCCCAGGGGAGGGAAATGCTTTTGTTCTTGACCTCCAACATTGCCGCCGTGACATTATGTACAAACCAGCAGTAATTGTTTATATGACTTATGTATTTATTCCTTATTGCCATATGTAATTAATGAAAACACTTGGCTGTAAGACAAGATCCATTAAAAAAAAAATTCCGGACAAAGGAAATGAATTTTGTACGAATATCCCTCGTAAGCTCTTGCTCTTTAATAAATAGGGTAGTTGAGGAACATTAAACACTTGATATAATAAAACATTAAAGGAACAGGATTCGACATTCTTATGATATCGTTTGTTGTAGTTTTAGGTGTTTTCATGATAATTTTGTACCTGTTTGTTGGCAAATACGAGAAGAACAGCATCTCTGAGTTCATCTTCATTCAACATTCTGCTTAATTCTTCCCTTGCTTCTGCTACTCGTTCACGATCGTTGCTATCCACAACGAATATTAGACCTAAACAAAACATACAACAATGCTTATCTGCCAATTCGCAAACATGAGCTACTAAATGCAAAGTGCAAAGCGAATCAAAGAAATAATGGTCGTAAACTATATTTTACTACCTTGAGTGTTTTGGAAGTAGTGTCGCCAAAGTGGTCTAATTTTGTCCTGGCCTCCGACATCCCACACTGTAAAACTAATGTTCTTGTATTCAACTGTTTCTACGTTAAATCCTGCAAACAAAAGTTGACAAACGTGTTACATGACTGATATAATAACATGATCCGTGGAATAACCCCCGAAGAGTAACATAACGTTAACTTAAGTTTACCAATTGTTGGGATGGTTGTAACGATTTCACCAAGCTTCAACTTGTAAAGAATCGTCGTTTTCCCGGCGGCATCAAGACCAACCATGAGAATCCTCATCTCCTTCTTGCTAAAAAGACCCTTGAACAAGCTAGCGAAAGCACCCATGACTAGTAAAGTTGACGTTCAACCCGACGCTTGTTACGGAGGAAATGGCGGCGACCTCTCAGGTATGCATGCCATATGAGAAGTCACGGGTTGTACCACAGGAACACCAGGCTGTTCAGTTCAACTGAGCTTAGAAGTTTAAAGACAATGGAAGAATTTCAAGGAAAATACCGATAGCACTGTATGTCGACCCTTTTAATGTTGTTTTTGGAAGACTGCACTTTTCGCCTATTGTCTTTTTCTGCCTATCACTAGAGTGTAGCTCTGGCCCTAATGAAGGCTAATTTTGTCAGCCGAAATATTGGAACCGCATACCTTTATTCCCTTTTTCCATTGAAACCGTAAAATTCCGAAAATAAGTCCCGGGGCTTATATTTTTCAAAGGCCCTTTTTGGCTAGCCTGCGTAGCAAGCGTTTCCGCGCAAGTTCGTCGAGAAAGTTAGGAAGAGAGCAAAAAAAACCGTTTCTTATCGCTTCCGCTCTAACTTTCGCGCAATAACTCGATTGGAAACGCTAGCTACGCAGTACATACTTTTTGGCGGGCTTATTTTTGGAGGGACGATTTAACGGAGGGTTTTTTGCGTTACTGGTTTGGGGGGCTTATATTTGGAGGAGCTTATACATGGAGGGACTTATTTTCGGAATTTTACGGTAGTTTTTCTAGTTTGCTCAAAAGCTTAACAGTGGGATTTTAATTTTCTTCGAGGGCTAGCTCCGGACCTTTTGGATGGATTTTCGATCGGAAGGCACGAGGAGAAGCGTGAATCTTTCAACCTTTTCGCTGCGAAGTTTGAAAGCGGAGCGATGCGATTTTCTGGGGGAAAATCGCTCCGGCGCTAGAGCCCTTTCTAAACAAGGATTCTTCCCTTGTCCTTCTATTATTAGGAACGTAAACGGCGTACTCAAAATCCTTCAAAATCGCTCAAAAAACCGCTTTTGAGGCAAAAGAACGACAATATACCACAGTTAAGGTAATTCAACGTTTATTTAATATTGATTTATAGGGAATACTAACGGTAAATCACAGGGTACCCAGACATTGTGCGGGTGCCCTGTGCTGCTTCATAGGATTTTGGAGTAATTCTCATAGGGGGCGTCTATTAGACAGGGGCAGGGGGCAGGGGGGCGGGCGGCGTTTAGTAGAGAGGGGCATCTAATAAAAGTTTTACAACCTAAAGGAAGCGTTTATCAAGCTACGTGCAAACGGACGCAACACTGTTGGGAGTTGTTGCCTCCGTTTGCACGTAGTAAAAAGTTTGACCGGTTTCAACCTTTGCGCAACAACTCCCAACAACACGCCACAACATTCATCAGGGTGTGCAAACAGACGCAACATGTAACATCCAACAATGTTGGGAGCTGTTGGTCAATAATGTTGCGTCCGTTTGCACGGGGCTTTGTTAAGGAAAGCGGGGGCGAAAGGGGTGTTGGGAAGAGGAGAGCTCACTTGTCTCCAGCTCTCGCGCTTCTCGGGAAAGCCTGAGGGAGGCAGTTCCTGTTCCTCGTTTTGTGGCTGAAGTAGCGCTTCATACCCTGTGTCCCCTAGTATCAACAATGCCATTTTCTCTACAACACTGGCATTCTACTTCAGTGGAGTGAATCTTTGTGTACAAAACTTTGCGGAAATTTTTTTTCTTTGCAAATCGTGAGAAAAAATGTTATTCACACGCTGAAAAAATAAAACATTTCCTAGCCTGCGTAGCTGGCGCTTTTGGCGCACATACAAGCTAGTAAGCTTCCCGCCCCATTCTCTCTCACCCCAAGAAAAACGCCAGCAAAAGCAGGATTTCCCAGGAGTGGTACGAGGGGAAAGTATAGCTACAGCACTTGGAACATTTTTAAGAGCCGTGTGAAAAACCAGAGAACGTTGAGGTAGGCATCTCAAGTACATGGACATTGCAATGTTTTCAGATTTCAATCTGATTTACATGAAACAATATCATTAATTCCTTGCAAAGAATAATAAAATGACTTTGCAATACATTTGAAAAATAATGTAAATTTAATATTCAATCATTGTTATCCTAAATTGCTATAGACAAAAAAGAATCTAGAAAATAACCCAGCACATAGAGCAATGATCCAGTGTTTACACTTAAGGCAAGAAAATCAAGCTATAATTCCTAAATGCAGGATTTTTCATTCATCATGGTGATTATGGTACTGTACATACAGCATCGGACGGCTGTGAAAATCTCACATTTGTGTCTCCACGCAACAATAATTTTGAAAGAGTTGTACTAATAACTTCAAAATAATGCTCATGTTTTAACTCCCAAAAGAAACTGAAGACAATGCTTATGCAAAATTGTGGGGTGACAAACAAAGAACATTATGGTATGTTACGGTGTTTCAGTAGTGGTCAATTGTCTTGAAGTTTTCAGGAAATACCTCTACAACTAAACTATGGTGGCAAGAGATAACTCATAGCTTGATATCACTTGGTGCCTCCAGTTATCAAAGGGTTAGGTCATCAGGACAGTTTATTGCTGCTAGAAAGTGGAACATAGAAAATGCAAACCACACAAAATTTCAAAAAACTTTGTCTTCTTAGTCTGCCAATATATTACTAGATGCCAAGTAATTATGTAAGGCTGTGCAAAGAAATGGCTTTTAAATGACACAATCTCTTAAAATGAAAAAAATTACAAACCACAGATATTAATTCTCCAGACTGGCCTCAATACATTGAATGAATTGTTTGAGAGATTTGAAAAAAAAAAGATCAAAGCATTTTCCTTTTAAGTTATCCTAACCTTTTCTCCTAACTACGGTTAAGGTAAGTGTTATCAGCTGAGCTGAAGGCCGATGCTGAAAATACTTACCAAGACCTAGATTATTTAGGATATCACAAAACCCGAATCCAGTAATAACTATTGTTTTATTATACACTGCTTTGAACAAAATAAGGACAAACACAGCACCGCTTACAACACAGTTTGACATTACTCTTAGAAAAATGGAATGTGCGCACAACCTACAGTTTAGTAAGTTATCTGCTACTAATCTGTAGGTTGCACTGATTTCTGAAATTAACTGTAGGCTCTTAGCCAATGAGAAGACAGATAGTGATTACAATATATAATAAAAGGAGAAATTTGATGTTGCTCACTCTTGGCACTTGAAAGGTTAACTCTGAAGAACTAACAGGCCGCATTTTTGATTTTTTTTTTCAGCTGTTCCATCTCACAAATTTGCTTTTGTTACTGAAATGGTCCTTTACATTTCATTCAAAAACTCATTAATAATTCATAAAGAAAAAACAAAAGACGTTAATCTTTAATGGGAGTGTCTTTAAATCTGATAGACGCGACTTAACTTTTTGACTGATTTTTTAGACCAAAATAATCCCAAACATAAATATAACCCCAAGAATGAGTTGATCTATATCAGAGATTTTGAAGCCATTCAGAAGACTTGCAGTCGTGTATTATCAGGTGTAAAAACTCTCGGTTTAGACTCGAGTTTTTAAACCTGAAAATACACTCCTACTAGATCTTTAAACAGTACCTAAACTTGGTGGCTAACTCCCGATGGCAGAAGTTGGCTCAACACTGTGTCTTTTAAGTCCCGACATCCACAAACAAATTCTCCAGACTGTTCTCCATACATTTTCTTACAGAATTAGTTCAGATAATTATTTTAATGAAAGATCAAAGCATTTTTCCTCTTTGCGACCGTTTTATTAACACTCTTCACCTTTTCTCTTGGTTATGCATTAACACTGTTAGCAAAAAAATCGATGTCAATCACTTTTGGGGCTTAAAAGGAACCTTGCCTTGTACTGTACATATCTGACAAAAAAACTAAAGTTTGAAAGCCTCATGCTGTGAACTCTCAAACCAATTAACAACACAAAAATCAGGCCCCAGCTTTTCAAAAGGTGGATAACGCTATCTAATGGATAAATTTCTTTTCAGTGGATAGCGCAACTGTTTGTCCCACTATTTATCCACTAGGTAGTGACTTACCAAATGAAGGGCACTATCCAACTTTTGAACATCCGAGGCCAGTAAAAATAACATACATGTAATCTGCTCAGAAAATAAAGTAAGGACTGTAATTCTTCTTTGACATAAGGAACTTTGGAGTTTTCACGGCCAGAGTAACCTTCTACCTATTATTATTTCAATGTGATTCAGTTATGTTACTTTGCATTTTTCAGCTGATTAGAAAGCCAGTCAAGTCCTTCATATAAACCATCACCGCTTGTTGCACAAGTTGCTTGAATGTACCATTGACGATTTCGTAAGCTATGCAGGCCTAGCTTATCAGTAATTTCGGCAGCATTCATGGCATTTGGCAAATCCTGAAAAAAAACATACATAACAAAGGACTGTGAGTCACACATAAGAATTCAAGAAAACACATGAGTAAACAAAGCAAAATTATTTGAACTCCCCAAGGGTAAAATTTTGTGATTTGTTGTTAACACAGAGAAAATAAGTAGTGAAAGGAATACATCTATGTAATTAAGGAAGACACTCAATTTAGCTACAGTGTGTGAGAGCTGAAAGCAATAATTTATTGAAGTTTAAATGCAATTTGGTTTTTGATCCCTACAACTCTGCAGATTTCTTCTTTAATGGTCAGCATAAGGCAATTAAACTTAAATGATTCATTAATCTTGGGGACATTCATGCTAATAATACATTGCCTAAATTCTGTAAAATAATGTTTATCCATATGTGCATATGATTCATGTTACAAAGTCATACATGTGCAATGCACACACTTGTCATGCAGAAACTGCTCCATTTTCTTCTTTACAGTTTTACCTGTTTGTTTGCAAAAACAAGAAGAATAGCATCTCTGAGTTCATCTTCATTTAACATCCTGTTTAATTCTTCCCTAGCTTCCCCAACTCGTTCACGATCATTACTATCCACAACAAAGATTAGCCCTAGATATGAGATAAGGAAGATGTCAGTGTCAGCATTCGAAATGTCAACTTTTAAATAAGTGTAAATCATAATGATGCTGTCGCAAGCAAGAGAACAACTAAACATAGCAGTCAAAACCCTTAATAAGGGACTGGTCAAAAAGTATAGGGGGGGTGGGCCGGAGCAGAGAGGGGGTGGGTCATGAGGTTTTGAGCCTTGTGCAAGGGGTGGGTTGTGCAATTTGCGGCTACCCTTAGGGGGTGGGTCACCCTATTTTATTACATAGATAAGCACTAACTACTAACGAGACAGTTGACCACACTTGTTATATAAAACACAGCCAGCTGGAATTATTGCTAAAATACTCACAAACCTGTGGTA